GTAGTACCGCCACCTGTGGCGAGCATAGTAAATTCCCTTGCATGTATAGTTTTGGATTTGCTCATAATTTATTATACAAATAATGTTCATGTTCATAGATTGTCATCCGCGGCATAAGTCAATGTTATTCCATTATTCCAATGTGTCCAATGGAGGAAGCCTAACAAACATTGAATGTTTAATAAGAGCTTATTCAGGCAAAAATAAGCTTCTTTAGCTAAAAAATTGCTTATTCAGCCGTTAATCAACTCAAATTGTTTGTTGGGAGGTGCTTTATTTAAACATAAAAAAGTTTCATGGCAGCCACCCTCCAATGCATGGGCCACTTTGTCAAACAGTTTGGGCGTGACTTTCTACAAATTTTTGTTTTTGATATGCACAAGTTTTGGCTACCCTTCTGATGGTTCTAGAAGAAAAAATCTCAAAAATATTGTTTCATTTCGAAGTTTGAGTGGTAGTAAATGTAATTTTAACTGTTCGACCAATTCGCTTCATAGCCTCAAAATATGATCCTGTGCAACAACGTTTAAAAATCGATTAAGGGGGGAATTTGTAAATATCACTAATCTTTCGCTAACTTTGGTTCTAGTTGTCCAAATGCTGTCAAAATTGAATATTTTATTTTCCGTGGTCCTCGCAACCACAGACCACCCAGACCCGCTACTTTCAACGGGTAATGTATTTCCCATTAAGATCAAACAAATAGGTAGGATGCGTGTTTGCCCAACAAAAATTGCTGAACAACAGTGTACATAACAGAATAAGAATGTGTCGAATTATGTGCCGAATAAAACTTATTTTCATTCAAAGATACGCTTTTGTTCCACTTTTCACTTTTATCTTAATAATATGCTTATTAAACTCTTCACAAAGGTGGAGGCGAACCAGCCCAAGGCTGAAAGCCTCCCTAATAAAGTTAAATAATAATAATACTCTTCACAAACGTCATCTAGTTTCCTAACTCGATAGCAGAAGATTTGTCTAACAATAAAATCGCTAATTGCGGCCCCTTTGAAAACAAAATTGACTGGTTATATGTAGTCACATGTATACAAACTTTAACTAATACATCTTATAAATAAAAGTTATCATTATAATATCCGGAGAGCTTCAAGATTTGGGCGTAAATGCTTTTGTAAACAAACACGTCAATCGCTGATTTCTTGCGAATAAAGGCTCAATATCGAAAACAAACTATTCCAAATGACAGAGGAATCATTCCTCTACATGATTGTGTTTTTAGTTTACTAGGCTAAGTTTTTATTCGCAAGAAATCAGCGATTGACGTGTTTGTTTACAAAAGCATTAACGCAAAAAATCTCGAAGATCTCCGGAATATATCATAGTTTCGAAAAATTGCATTTTAGCGGTAATGCGTATTTACAAGCTTGCAGTAATTATTCAATATGCAACATAATAGAATCATAATGAAGGCGTTTCTATAAGTAGAAATTGTATCTTGGATGTGCTAACAACTTCATATTTTTTCTTAAATTCTACAGAATTTTCAACAATGGTGGACGTTGCTAAATTAATAGCCGCTTATTTAATTGCAGATATCTGATACTTACTTTTATTTACAGATAATTCTTTAAAATATATCTTGGTTGTCAACATTGATAAAAAGAAAAACAAACATGTATGTAAAAACTTCTGATTTCTACAGCACCTCATAACAGAGAGAATAACAATATACGGCCAAGAGACGTAAATATAGATAAATATGCATTGTTTGTTGACCATTTTCTATTCTATATAAATAATAATAGAGACAGCTTGTGCATAGGCCTTTTGATCAGCCTTTTGCATTTATTTAATCTGAAGTATAGTCATCAACGATGTATACACGTTCGTTGAAAACGATTCACACCTACAATTAAAATGTCGATCGAAATCTTTACCAATAGGGTGATTCAAATTATCCATTTTGCACCGCACCGCGTATGCAATTCTGTTCATTCTACACAAATGTGAGCCCCTGCGGTTTCAAACATGAACTTTCCGGGACTTTCGAAGCTTGTTTGAGAATATTATGGCTAAAAGAAATCATTTTGATCACCGCGTTCTAGTTCTAGTCTTATTCTACATATTATTCCACCTCGACGAGTTGATGTCTTTTGTGACAAAATTAATCAACTGATTTGCAGGCAGTGATTCAGAGCCAACTTGCTTTTTTTTTTTCCTTTGGTTTGTTTTTTCCGTCGATCTTGTTTTCCGTGCTGAGCACCAATGCTACCGACGTGCCAGGAAGGCAGCTCCCACACCTGGACCCTACCTATCGACCCATCAACTCATGAACCGGGGACCAACGGCTTTACTTCCCATCCGAAGGATCAGAGATGTTATGCCTCAGAACATCCCGGAAGCGCCGACTGGGATTGAACCCAGGCCTGCTGGGGTGAGAGGTAATCACGCTTACCACTACACCACTGGCGCCGTTAGAGCCACCCTGCTATCTAACATGAAATATCACAAAAAATTTCGTCATACAATTTTCCCTCTGATCAGCAAAGATCCTTTCATCGAACTCTTTTTCTTGTTTTCTTGTATTCTATAAATTCTACATCATGTGTCTCATATTTTCGCCAGACGTAGGGATGTAGGGTCTTCGACTGAAGAAACCAGGTGTGGTACACCAAAATTAAGCAAATGGTTTGCCGCATGCTGTGAATTTGCGTAATACTTTTTGCATTCCGATTCGGTTTCCCTTGCTTAGTGGGTAGGTTGCAGGTACATGTATACCTACTTGCTTTGTGTAGGGGCTGATGAAAGATTTGCATTATAAATAAAAAGGGGGAACGACCTCTGTTGAAATTCGAAGAAAACAGAAAATCCAAAGTTCAAGGACGTTTTGCTTGCAGACAGTGTAGTGGAATGCTAATCGGCCAATTAACCAGAACATAGGAAAAAATACTGATTAATGATTTACCATTTTGGTTCAAAAATGCATGGTTAATTATTGTTATAAACAAGACTTGTTGTACTTAGTAAACGGTGTTTCGAAAGAATAAACTTTTTACATACAGTGTAAATTAAACATAAAACATCTAATTTTGAAACATGTTGCAATAATCTGACTAAATGGATTAATAAATAGTGTTTTTGTTCAATAGTTTACTAAGCTTTTAAAATTAATATAAACCACGTGGCAGAAGCTGCAGCATCAAATTTGAGATGAGGGTCGCTTGGCGCGCTTTCAGAGATGATGCTGCGTGACTGCGAGGGGTTATCGATATAAAAAGCACTCGGCGGGTTTTTAAAGCTATGGTGGCGGGATTTAATTTACCTTCGTGTAATTTGGAAGGAAAGCTGGCAACCATGTACTGAGATGTCAAAGTTTTAACTGCGAGCAGCGTTGCCAGTATTCCAGATTTATCTGGATTTTCCAGATTTTTAGTCACCTTGCCAGATAGACAGACAGACCACGTATATTTCCAGATTTTTAAAATATGTTCCAGATTTTCCCAGATTTTTTAACCAACGTTGGACATTATTGGAATTTTAAGGTAATTCTGAAAATAGTTCACAGTTAACTGTGAGACGAATTCTTTGTGAAACCTCTGGTTGAAGACGGTGTCAATTGTCTTGTCAACTCTGATGAAAATTGCATGGAGATTATGTCACTAAAGAAAATACAATCCGGAAAAGAAATCATAGAAAATTCTTATGATGAAACTTAAGGGGTCTGCTGATACGAATCGTGAGAATAATTTCATTGGAATTCTGTCCAATGTTTCTAGGGAGATTAAAATTCATAAAATTTTAAGCGCAATTTCTGGTAGACTTTCAAAACCATTTTGGCAAAGTACTTGAGTAGTTCGGTAATACTGAAAAGGATTTCAAAATAATTCTGACTTTACCTACAAAGCAGTTCGAAGGAAATTATCGGTTGAGTCTGAGAAGAATGTGACAGTCATTGTGTACCAAGGAAATTGTTAAGAATATTTTAAGAATTTCATAGAGAAAAATGGACACAAAATTGAGCCAATTCTTGCCAGTTAGAGGGAGCTGTGGAATTGGAGAGTGATTTATAAGAAATTACAAGAGGTAATACTAAGAATTCTTAGAATGTTGCTAGAAAAGTTTAGATATTTTCAAGATTATTTTAGGGGAATATAGAAAAGAAATATGATTGCATTCGAGGATGATTCAAATTGAACTAAAAATAAAAAAGGCGAAAAAAATATTCTTTGGCATAAAATTATTCGTCATGGTCATGCAAAGAGTGGAATTACCCATAGTTTAGATAAACTGTGTGTGAGTTCCGCGATGTTAGGCTTTGATTCCCACTTCAGTCCGGTGAATTTTGCTTCAAAATAAAAAAAATGCCTACAAGTCTGCTGGGTGTTGTGTGTTGTATATTTAATGTCAAGAATCAAACTGTTAATCTGATCAACCTCCGAGTAATATTAGAATTATTTAGAACTAATTAAATCTTTAAATTCTGGTACTGCATCAAATAGTAAGGACTACATCGACTATTAGTTCAAAAAATCCATCCCATCAAATTTCCTTGATTCTTCGCCTCTCATTCTTTTTTTTTTAAGTTACAGTTTAAAAAGCAATTCTAACCATATTTTCTGCTGTTTTTTACCCACTCAATTTTTGAAACGCTGCGTAATGGATATTTGAACTTTTTGGGCAAACTGTTTCAATACTTTTCAACTTTTGGATGATTTTAGCAATGCTTACAAGTTATTTGCTTTATATAATTTATGTAAACATGTAATTTATAACCATTCTAGTAGTTTTTAATAAATTCCAGATGATCATACTGACCTATTTTTACGGGAGATTGGCACATCACTTTGATTTCAATAGCATTATGTTAAAAAGAGGATTTTTTGTGGCATTCCAGATTTTTCCAGATTTTATATTTTACCTGGTCCAGATTTGTGTGAAAATGACCTGGCAACGCTGACTGCGAGTCGGATATTGTTTACAAACTTTAAACATTGAGTATTTTTGTCGTTTATGTGGAACAAAATTGTGACAAATTTTGAGAAAATATCCTTCTAATAGATTATATTTGTGGTAAAAAATGACTCGTCATGCTAGGAACTGCACTGCGGGAGCGGTCTACACCTATCACGAGAAGAAGAAAGACGCTGCCTCGTCCGGGTTTGGTTCATCATCGAGACGGATCGGAAAGGACTCGGTCAAAGATTTCGACTGCTGCTCGCTGACGCTGCAGCCTTGTCGGAATCCTGTTATAACGTAAGATATTTAAAATAATTCAAGTTGTATTCTAATTCGTAGGCGTCGATACAGAATTTACTGTTAGTTAAATAGGGTGAGATGGGTGATATGTAGCTAGTTTCCTAAAGTGCTACCCCAGAAGACCTTGAAATAAAATCAAAGTGTCATGCTTAATTGTCTATACTGTTCTGTATCTTATAGTAACCTGATAGAATCCGATTATATTTTACAGAAAGGATGGATACCTGTTCGACAAGGAAGCTATTTTGACCTACATCATTACCAAGAAGAAGGAATTCACTAGAAAAATGAAGGAATATGAAAGGCAGCTAAAGCAGGACGAGGAAGAACAAACAGAAAAAGTCAATGCAGAAACGAAGAAGCAGGTGGACAGGTTTATTTCTACTGAGAAGAATATCGTCAGTACAAAGACTGCAAATCCCGCTGGTAAGTTTACCTTTAAAAATGCCCGTACATCGCATTGCGCCCCGAACACGATTCAATGATTTTAGACGAAATTCCCAGCACCAGTGGAGCAATTTCGAACGTTTCTTTAGGAAAACGCAAGGAACTGCCCAGCTTTTGGGTTCCATCGCAGACTCCAGCGGCTAAGGTTGCCAGAATTGTGAAACCGGACAGTAAGGTGTATTGTCCGATTTCGAACAAGCCTCTGAAGGCTAAGGATTTGATTGACGTAAAGTTTACCTTGGTAAAAGATCCTTCGGACAAGAAATCTTTGATTGCAAAGGAAAACCGATATATGTGCGCCGTTACGCATGATATTCTCAACAATTCTGTACCCTGTGCCGTGCTGAAGACAACGTAAGACTGTATGATTAAGTACCTACATCAACTTTCAATAAATCATGACCTTATTTTAGGGGTGACGTTGTTACTATGGAATGCGTGGACAAAATTATCAAAAAGGACATGATTCATCCGTTGACAACCGAAAAACTCGCTGAGTTGGACATTATTCCATTGCAAAGGGTATGTAAACTTACTATTTTATTTAAAAGTAATCAAGAAATAAAAGTAAATTGTGTGCATCGTTTCAGGGAGGAACTGGATTCGCTACTACTAATGGTAACTTGCAGGCGACAGAAGAAAGGCCTGCATTGCAATGTTAAACATATGTGTGCTTATCATTAATGCTTGTAAAGTTAATAAACCATTAAATACTGATATTTTTCTTCTATTAAAGTTAGAGTCTCTAGACCAGAATCTGTAATCAAATTTGAAGTAGCTACTACACACCCAGACAACCAGAAGTCGTATAAAAATGTACAGACAGTATCGTAAATTGCTACAGTTTAAGTCAAAGTTGCATATAAGAATGGCATATCTCGCATTATGTTTATGTTAAATCGTATAGAATGCAAATTACCGACCTATATGCGATTACTCATTTTTCCGTCGTACTGTATCACAAACTTAATCGGATTACAACGTAAGACTTTTCAAAATGAATTTGTTATTACAGATTACATCATATACGATGATGTTAAATCAACTCGTTTAAAATTAAATTAAAATATGCACGTTTATGGCCTCCACTTTTGTACGTTTAAGCCATTTATTTGCATTCTATACGAATTGTTTGTTTGTATATATGTTTGTATATCACGAAAACAATTCTGAATATACGTGCATTCTGGTTGTCTGGGCACTAGCGTGCGCATAAGGAGAGGTAAACCACTCTCACACCGTCAGTCACTGGATTGGAACCAGACAGGAGCCTCAACAAGGAACTAAAGGAACTCGACAGGAACCTGACCTAGGTCCAGGTCAAGGCAAAAGCGAGCAGCCGGCCAGGATGTAAATCGTTCACGTTTGCCCTATTCCCCATTAGGGGTGTGCAGGATATATGAGTGGGGCCGCATAGCCTAGTCAATAAAGGCACGGTATTATCAAACCGGAGGCGGCGGGTTCGATTCCCAGTCCGGTCGAGGGAATCTTTCGGATTGGAAATTTTCTCGACTTCCCTGGGCATAGAGTATCATTGTGCTTGCCACACAATATACAAATTCATGCATTGGTATTGGCATCGAAAGCCCTCAATTAATAACTGTGGAAGTGCATTTAGAACACTAAGTTGAGAGCACGCAATAAGCTAATATGCATAAAGCAATAAGCTTGAAATGCGAATAAGAAGAAGGATATATGAGTGAGTGAGTCATTTTGATGATTTGAGAGCTGTTTTTTTATCCTTTGGGATCTTTGAATAAGTGAATTTTATTTATCTAAAAGTCAAGTACAGCTAGTTAACCCCCCTGCTGCGCACGTTAGTGGTACTACATCAGGTTTTCGCGGTTTGGATTGCTCAATATGCCAGAAATCACTGATTTTCATCAACTTCTAAAGTTTATTATTTAATTATTACCTATTTACATATCAACATATTTAATTATTACCTACATAATCAAAATATGTGTTCGGAATAAAAGCATATACTGAGATCACATCCCGTTACCCTATACCTCCCATCCTCTTAAAGCGTTTTGAATTAAGCGTTTCCTATCTTTAAAGTTGAATAAAACAAACTGTAGGGGTAAGCGGGGCATAGTGAGCATCCCGTGCACTAGCTTGGACTTGTTGGTGGTAGGATCAATATAATAATGATATTGAACCTACTACCAGTTGATTTGTTTCATACAGCTAGAGATCTAGGGCCAAACTGCGAGATGTTCACTATACCTGTTCACTATGCACCTCCTCCCCCTATGTGAGATATTAACGTGATTTATTTTTTCGATTGAAAGGCCTATCATTTTGTATGGAATATGACATCGTTCAAATGGGCGCCTCGACTTGGCTTGGTGGCGTGCATCCGAGAGGTCCCATTTTCTTTGACTTTGGCGCACAAATCGGGCTAAATCTCGTTGATGGCTTGAGGGCTTGTTGGCTTTGAGGGCATCGGTGATTTGCGGCTTATTGGCATAGACCTGCGACTTACCATAACCCCACAAGAAAAAGTCTTGGGGGGTTAAATCACACGATCTTGGTGGCCAGTTGACATCGCCTCCGCGCGAAATAACCATGCCGGAAATCGCTCATGCAGAATATCGATTTTTTCGTCTTCTGTGTGGCACGTTGCACCGTTCTGTTGGAACCACATATCGTTCATAGCCATATCATCCACTTTAGGCCAGAAGAAGTCGGTCCGTCAAAGTTTCAAAGTGAATCAAAACAAACACAGTGTATTACTAGAATTTCGACTAGAATGGGGTACGTTAATCGATTTGCTTGGGACCAATAGGTTAGTCAAGTAGTGAGCCAATTTAAAATCGTTAATTTCCACCGGTTGCTATAACCATAGAGGTAACTCTACACGCAAAGAATTGATTTTTAAATTCAAATGGATATACTTTTGACTCAGAGCCTAGTATGTTGTAAATATTTTTGAATCTACAAACCGATTGTAGAGTCGATAATCCGTTTGTTGATTCTAAAAACCGTTTTGCTGATTCAAAAGTTGAATCAATAACAAAATACATTAGCCCCTGAACCAAAAATAAATTTTTCTGCGTGTCCCGAAGAAACGTGCTCAACTTTTTGGCTCAGCTCAAAGAAGAATACTAAGATGAAACATTTGGAAGAAAAACTTTCTATTTTATACCTTATACAGACATACAAAGTGCACTGTTGTACCATAGAGGTAACTCTACACGGAGAACAAATTATAGCAGAACCAATTATTTTTCCGGTCAAAATAACTATATTGTTCAATTGTTTTAGAGATAACCCGAAACTATAGTTGATTTGACTATATATAGAGGGCAACAACTATAGTCCATAGTTGGCTCCTCGGTTGGCTCAACTATATTTTTCAGTAGATGAACAAACGTCAAACTTCAAAATACAACTATGCTTTAGTTGATTCAAGAAAACTATTGTTAGGAAAGCAAAATTTTACAATGTTTATTAAACGAACTGCTCTTCATTATCGACATACTAAGGAAGTTTGTTTTGCTTCTTTATCGATCGCACACAACTGCAAAATCATAAAAAAGTTAACAAGAACATTCAGCTTTGATTTGAACCGTGTTCATCTGCGTGAGAGCCAGCTATCTTATCGCCTGCTCTACGCATCACAAGTTAAAAGTATGTGGATTTATGATGATCACTTGAAACCAAATTATATAAATAAATTACATTTAACGGTTGTTATAATTGATCAAAGTTATAGTTGAATTGAGTATAAGACGAACAGTTGAATCTATTAGGTAGATATGATTGAGTTGACGGTCAAATTAATGTTGGAATAACTATAGGTTTCTTTCAAACAACAATATTTTTCCATGTGAAAGTAACTATTAGGATTGCTATCTTAACTTAACGAATTTGTTCTCCGTGTACATATATGTGCTTTATTTCTTTAACGCTGGCAATATATAGTTTAACATAGAACTGTTTACAAACAAATGCATCACTGTCATCCAATGTTTTTTTCTCTGCTGCAAAACCAACCGGTCAGCAGTCGAGTTTTTTTTCAGTTGCTATGGGGATGTAACTTGTGATTAGCCCCGGTCCCTTTGAAATTGTCTCATTATTTATGAACGGGCCTTATATTTGAAATGACGTTTTACATTCATTTCCATTATTATTCGAATAATCCGAAAAGTATAATATTTGTAATTGGTATCTTATTTGGTAAGAAACTGACTTGCAACAAGCATAAGAGGAAGAGGTGACAATTAGCTTCGTCCTCTTTTATTTCTATCTCTATCTCTATCTTTATCTATCTCTATCTCTATCTTACGCACATGAAATCGGCCAATCAGGAGCTGGTTCACGTTTGACAGAAAAGTGGTTCATTTTCGCCCCTGTATTGTATTCTCTTCTCTTTGCAAACAAGCCATTAGAAGTATATATGGAAGTTACTATAGCAAAACCAAATGTTTTGTGCTAATCTATCTAACAATTCTGGATCAACAATAGAAAAGGGCCCATCAGCATTTGTAAACAAACCGTTCCAAAGCCCTTTACTCACAAATCGAAGGCTACCCACGCAAACCAACACCATCATCGGATAGGGGAAACTTCTACCTACCCGATAATGGTATTGGTTTGTGTGGGCGGCCTTCGATCTGTGAGGAATGGGCTTTGGAACGGCTTGTTTACAAATGCTGATGGGCCCTTTTCTATTGTTGATCCAGAATTCACCATTTCGTTCTGCCTTAAAAAATGATACCTGTGTTATTAGGATTTTTTTCAGCTACATCTTTGATGATGACCACTTTTCGATTAAACGTAAGGAACAACACGGAGAACAAATTATAGCAGAACCAATTATTTTTCCGGTCAAAATAACTATATTGTTCAATTGTTTTAGAGATAACCCGAAACTATAGTTGATTTGACTATATATAGAGGGCAACAACTATAGTCCATAGTTGGCTCCTCGGTTGGCTCAACTATATTTTTCAGTAGATGAACAAACGTCAAACTTCAAAATACAACTATGCTTTAGTTGATTCAAGAAAACTATTGTTAGGAAAGCAAAATTTTACAATGTTTATTAAACGAACTGCTCTTCATTATCGACATACTAAGGAAGTTTGTTTTGCTTCTTTATCGATCGCACACAACTGCAAAATCATAAAAAAGTTAACAAGAACATTCAGCTTTGATTTGAACCGTGTTCATCTGCGTGAGAGCCAGCTATCTTATCGCCTGCTCTACGCATCACAAGTTAAAAGTATGTGGATTTATGATGATCACTTGAAACCAAATTATATAAATAAATTACATTTAACGGTTGTTATAATTGATCAAAGTTATAGTTGAATTGAGTATAAGACGAACAGTTGAATCTATTAGGTAGATATGATTGAGTTGACGGTCAAATTAATGTTGGAATAACTATAGGTTTCTTTCAAACAACAATATTTTTCCATGTGAAAGTAACTATTAGGATTGCTATCTTAACTTAACGAATTTGTTCTCCGTGAATAGTTATTAATCACTCAAATTGCTGGTATCTTATTATTATGCTCAATCAACTGCTCAGCAGGCAACATTGGTGTTTCTGGCACGTGTGATAGAGCACAAAAATCATGACTACTATGTCACACTGCACAATACAGTGTTGCTTGCAAAACAGCTGCTTGATCATGCCATAAGATTATCAAGCTCTTATATAATTAATAACTATTTAATTTGACGGTTGACTGAAA